GCCTCTGGGGACGCGGGCGCCGGCGGCGCCGCGCCGGGCAGCGGCTCCGGCGCGGCTGGCGTGGGGCTTGCCGCGCTGGGCGGCGCAGTGTTCCAGATGATAGGCTCCACCGTTGCCGACGCGTTGGCGCCTGAGCGAGGGGGTTTGGGCGGCAGGCCGTTGGATGCAGGCGCGCCAGTGAGTCGAGCATTGCCCTGCCCATGGCAAGCACTGCACTGGCTTCGCCTGAACCTTGGTGGCTTTGGGGGTTGCTGCAACGTCAAGGATACTAGCCAGCCTAGGGCTCACCGCTGACCCACCCTTGAGGGCGGGAAGCTTCCTGCAAGCAACCCGGCCTGGGGCTGGCCGACACCAAAAAAGCGCTCACAGGCAATGACACCAATCCCACACAAAAAAAGCGCTCCAGGCATGCGCACCAGGCCCACCGGCCGCCCACGCACGCCCGCGCTAGCTTGCCCGCCGGGCGGACGGGCCGGCCCGCGTATCGCGCAGAACGCACGCACCTGTGCAGAACGTCTGGCCGTCCACGATGATGCCGCAGGTCCAGGTCGTGGCTGGCAGCGGCGCGCGCGCGCCAATGGCCTCGGGAGCAACCTGCGCAAGGGGGAGGATTGAGATCAGGATCAGGATCGGGATACGAGCGGTCACAGAGTCCAGCGGCAGCCCTTTTCTGGAGCCAGCAGCCAGTCGAGGTTCAGGGGATCGGGCTTTGTACAAGGGGCAGACAGGGGGATACCGGCCAGGCAAGCAAGGGCGGGGGCCCGAGCTCTCCGGCAAGCGTGGGGCAAGGCGTTCGTTTAGGGTCTGTTTCCCGGGGCCGGGCCGGCGCCGATCAGGGGGGGAAGGTAGCGTGGGGTGCACGTGGCTAACACCAGCGAGGGGGAGAGGCGAGCGGCGCAGGTGGGCGGCCTGCTTCCAGCGGCCGCAGGCCAGGGCCAGGGTGCTTCCTCCAAGATCAGATCACACTGGCCCCGGAATGAGGCTGGACCGCCATCCGCCACCAGCTTACGGTGTGGCAACAGGCCGGCAGGAGGGGCGCTTGGTAGGCTTTTTCACCAGACACAGTACGTCTCAACACGCTGCTCATCAGCCAAAAATATGTCGCTTGCAAGTATAGACAGTCCGTTGCAGTGGATACAGCGCCAGCGGCAGGGCGCCCACCTTGGTGCACTTGTTGGTGTCGAACAGGCCGCCGCCGCCCCCGGCGCCCGCGCCCATGGGGGCCGACCCGAAAATGGACGGGAAGCGGAACAGCGGGGTCTGTGGAGCAGGAGCAGGTAGGATGACCCGGTTGGATTGTGGGGGAAAGAGTGGTGGCGCGCAAGCGAGCGGCGCGAAGCACCTGGGGGATCAGAGTGCCTCGCTGCCACCAGTGCCCAGGCCGAGCCCCCTTTGCCAGATGGGGGGATCCCTCGCCCCCGCCGGACCCCGCACAGGCGTGCCCACCGCTGACTGCACGTTGCACTGGCCGTCCGCATAGACAACCTTGGACAGGCCGTCGGCGGTGCCGTTGATGGAGCTGCCTGCGTGCGACCGGCAGGCCGGGCAGCGTCGGCAAGCTGATTACAGCGCACCAGACAGCATCACTGGCTGCAAATGCTTTGAGCCCAAGCACCTGCTGCAAGCCAGCGTTTTGCATGCCGTCACGGCCAGTGCGAGCGGGCAACAAACCCCGCGGCCTGCCAAACAGTGCCTGCTGTGCTGCACTCTGCTTGCGCCGGCTCCGCTGCGCGCGCCGCAGACAACCACCGCAAGTCATCCCAAAAATGGGGAGCTGTCAGACCCACCATCGGGCACGTCAGCCACCAGGGTGGTTATGCCGCCGAGCCGCGCGGCGACCTGGGCGGGGCGCGAGCTGTTGAGGCCGGTGACGCCAATGCCGCTCGCGCGGACGCGGGCGGTGTCGAAGGAACCGTGGACGTGGTGGCCGGAGGTCCTGTACCAAACCAAATCAAGACGGGCGAAAGAGCGTGCGGCGGATGAGGGTGCCGTTGACGTCGAAGGGGGCCGCCGGCATGAATGAAGCGCAGCGGCGCCGGGCGCCGGACAGCGCAGCGCACAAGCATTCACTGGGTGCTGAAAGCGCAGCCAAGCAGCGCGCATGTCCCCAGCAGCGCTGCTGCCTTCTGCTGGAAACGATTTCAATCGCGCGTCAATGCGCAGGCGTCAGCACCAACCCACCCAGAGCTGGTGATGACCACCCTCTGCACGTCCACCCCCGTCGCGATCACGCGCCCGCCGCCGCCGCCGCCCGCCGCCTCGAAGGCGGAGCCGTTGGCCGCGCCGGGGCCGACTACGACGTCGCCGGAGCCGTAGGCGGCGGCGTAGGAGAGGGGGCGGGCCGGGTCGGTGTAAACGATCAGCTGGATCGGCTGTTGGGGGTGGAACGGGCGGGTGCGGGGGGAGGGGCAGGGTTGTGGTGTGTCGGGCGGGTGGTGCGAGGAGGGTGGCGCGTGGGTGCGAGGTGGGAACAGCAGGGGGCACAGGGCATGCGCAGCTGAGGGCGTAATGGCTGTCATATGCGCAGGGCTTTCACGCATGGGAGCAGGGCTCAGAAACAGTGAGCGAGGCGGCACCAAGCTTGCCAGGCACGCAGACCCCGACCCCTGCGCAGCCTGATAACAATTCCCCTGCCTAAACAGTTGTCAGTGCACATACAACCCGGGGCCCCCTCCGCCCCACTTGATACGCCCTCAAGACCCGAACAAAGCCCAGATCCCTGTGAGCCCCCGCCCTACCAGGTGCGTCTCAAAGCCGTGGGCCAGCTGGATCGCCAGCACGCCGTCAGCCACGGTGGCGTTCGTGCCGTTGATGACGTCACCGCTGGCGTTGAACAGCACGCGCGCCGCGCCTGCGGCGCTGGCGTTGGCGCCGGGGCTGCCGGGCGCGCCGGCGGGGGGCGCCTTGGAGGGCAGTACCAGGATGCTGAAGGGGACGCAGGACCTGGCGCCCGGTGGAAGGTGGGTCGGGCGCGGAGGCGCGCGCGCTGACAGGGCGCCAACGATGTTGGTTGGGGCAATTGAACAGCCCGCATGCGAACCCCTCGGCCCAGGTGTATGCTGATGCTGATGAATCTCATTCATATCACTGGTTCATCGCAACCCAGCAGGCACCTGATGGCGAAAAAGCTGGGAATAGGCTGGTCGACGCTGACCAGCGTCTCGTTGGCGGCGCCAGGCTGTGCAGCCCCCGGCGCCGTGGCGTTGAACTGCGCCACACATGAGGCCACAAAAAGCATCAGTGGCCAAAGGGCTGGACGTGGGGGCCTGAAGAGCGCCATGCTCGTGTCGAGGAATGTCAGATCACAGGTAAATTGCGCGGTTGATGACTGGGGTGGCTGTTCAAAACAGAAGTGATTTATCGACAGCAACAGGTACTCGACAGCTGTGCTGCAACAGTATTCGGTGTGTCACTCGAAGGAATCGGCGGTGTTGGTTGCAGGTTTACGGTACCAGATAAGTTGCATTTAGCATCTGAGGCACACGTGTAGTCACGTTATCAGATACGAGCTCGTTTCATTTTATGCAGGGGGTTTGCAGGGGGTTCACCGTACGGTAGACACCCCGAGTGTGGCAAGCAGCAGTGTGCGCAAAGCGAGTGCAGCAATCCTGCCCGTACCCTGCCCTTGGATCGACAACACCTTTGACTTGTGTGGTATCATATCATCAGCCGCTATGCAGTCTTGTCCATAGCATTTTAGATCGCACTTTGCACAAATCATGAGCGCGCGTGGCCTGGTGACGCTCGCATCGCGGCTGTCGATCGAGGACATTTGCGCTGTATTTCTCCGACACGCCCTACCGAAGGCAACCGCCGCCTCGGCAGACGGGCGCTACGCCGGCAGCGGCAAATGGCTTGCGCCGCAGCTGCTGCTGAGCCATTGGCCCTCGAATGGGTCGCCAAACACCTGCAGTCGCGGCATCAGCAGCGCGTCCTCGCTCGAAGGAGACACCAGCGCGCCCCCCCGCCAAACGCAGCAGCACCAGGGCGACATCCCGCAGGTGGCGGCCGCCGACGACGCCGCCGACCTCTCCTTTTTTGATGAGCAGCCCGAGGTGGACCAGCTGCGCACCACGCAGCTCGGCAGTGGCTCCTCGGACGGCGGCTGCAGCGGCGACGGCGGCGGCGGCGGCGGCAGCGGCGGCAGCGGCGGCGCGGCGGAGGAGGGCGCCGGCATCGACGCGAGCCTGCGCGCCGCGGCGCGCGACGTCGCGGCGTCGGTCGCCGCGCGCGCGGGCCCCGACGCGCCCCCTGAGTTGTTTGGCTGGCGGGGTGCACTCACGCGCGGCGACGAAGCGGAGCTCGACAACCAGTCAGATCTAATCCAGCAAGTGGGTTTGGAGGATGACGTGTATTCGATTGTTTCGCTTGTTTGTGCGGGTTGAGGTTTTGCGCCCCCCTCCCTCGGCAAAGTTGTAGTGTGCCGCTGCCACCTGTGATGCGCGCGGCCGCCCATCCGGCGTTCATCGTCTCCGCCTGTTGAGTGCGCCACCACTCATCACCACCACCACCACCACCAGCACCACCACCACCACCACTTCCGCCGCTGCCGTTCTCGCAGCGGGGCGAGCTGGGCAAGCTCGCACGCATCGTGAGGGTAAAACGCGGCTCGCAGCGCAGCAGCGCCGAAGGCGGCGACGATAGCAGCAGCAACAGCAGCAGCCTCGATGGGAGAGAGCGCGTTTTGCAGCGGCTAGGCCAGCTCAACTGCCAAGAGGTCGCCTGGGCGGCGCTCGACGACGCAGACATAGAGCATGTGGAAAGGATCTCTTCGGACGACCCGAAAGAGGTGCGGCGGCTGCTGGCTTTGGAAGTCCGCAAGGCTCGGCGGCAGGCGGCGGAGCAAAAGCGGGCGGCGGCGGGCGGCAAGGCCCGGCGGCGGAAGGCGGCTGAGGCGGCGCCCGGCTCAGCATCAGCTCCCGGCGCCGCTGCAGCTGCCAGCGCCTCCGAGCTCGCGGCGGCCGACCCGCCCAGCCCGGCGGCGGCTGCCCACTCTGCTGATGAGCCAGCCCCAGCGGCCCCGGCCGGGGACCCTGCCGCAGCCCAACCGGCTGGCACCCCTCCGGCCGACGCCGCCGCCGCGGCCAAGCGGGGAGGCGCGGCGCCGATGGGCCTCGGCGCATACGCTCGGCAGCGCACCCTGGTGCTGCAGACGATGACCAAGGTCCAGCTCGCCCAGGCGTGCGCGCGGCGCGGCCTGGAGTGGCGCAGCAGCCCGTCGCAGCGCCCGCGCGGCGGCGGCGAGTGGGAGTTCAGTAGACACGCCCTGCCCAAGGCCCAGCTGGTGGCCGCGATCCTGGAGGCCGAACTGGAGGGCATGCAGGGGGTGCTGCAGGGCAGATGAGAGGCGGGCAATGTTCACGCCTCGCTGCCGTCAAGTTTGATGCCTCGCGGCGTGATGTAATGCTTGACGCGTTGCGGTGGGCGGAGCGGTGCCCGTAGGGCTGTAGTTTCAGGTGGCGGGGCGGTTGGTGCCGGTTGGTTGTGGTTGGTGGCGGCTGGGGATCGCAACCGGGTGTCTGGGGCCTGAGCACAGGTGCCCCTCCACTCTGCCGCCCAAGGATGGCGCCGAGGCCTGGCAGGAGGAGGCCCGCCGCTGGCAGCTGTCCAATCACAAATAGTCTGGTGCTCCCCGGCGCTTCCAGAGGGTCTTCATGCTCTCGAAAGCTGCTAAGTCGCACCGAAGCAGCCCGCGGGCTTATCGCCCACACCAACCTTGTTCCCACACTGTTACATGTGAGGTGCAACCGGCACGTGCGTGCTGCAGCTTGGGGCGTGCTTGAGGTTGATTTCCAGCAACTGCATGGGCTGCGAAGATCAAAGGCACGCGCACAAAGCTGCACAAAATTAGGCACGCCTTGCATTGCAGCCGGGCGGCGAAATGAGCCGTGGGGCGGTGCAAGACACGGTGCGCGCGACCGATGGCCTCGGGAAGCACAAAAAAACGTGCGCGCGCCGCACGCACAGAGCGGGCGCCAGCCCTAGCACAGGGGGTCACCGCGAGGTGGTGGTGCGCGGGCGCCCGCGCCTGCCCGCCGCCGTGCCGGACTCGTTCTGAGCCTCGGGCCCCGCGGGCGGCGGCGCCGCGCCGTTGCTGCTTGCCGTTGATGTGCGCCGGCTTGGGGGCCGCCCGCGCCTCGGGGCCGGCGGCGGCGACGAGCCCTCCCCCGCGCCGCCGCCAGCGCCGCCGCCGCCGCCGCCGCCCTCCTCCTGCTGTTGCTGCTGCTGCGCCGCCGCGGCGCTGGCCGTCTTGCGGACGGAGGTCGAGCGCCGCTTGGGCGCCGCCGCCGCCGCATCGTCGCCTACAGCGGCCGCCTTGCCCGCGCCGGACGCCGCCCGGCTGCGCCGCTGCCTCCCCTCGCCCGCCTCCGCGCCCCGCCCCGACGGCCCCGCCGCGCCCTCCGCCCGCTGCTCCTGCTCGCGCTTCAGCCCCTCCGTCCGCCGCCGCAGCGCGCCTGGCGCCTTCTCCCCAGGCCCGGGCGCGGGCGCGGCGCCCGGCGGCGGCGTGCCCGCGGCGGCCTCCACGGCCGCCTTGTAATCCTGCATGTTCTCCTTCAATATCTCCTGCATGTGCGATTCTATCCCAAAAGTCCCTATTTTCAGCTCCACTAGGAGGTTGGGAATCGGGTGGGTGAACTCCAGGCGCACGCGTGTCCTGGGGGCGCCGCCGGCGCCTGCGTCCGGCTCGTCCGAGAGCTGCACGTTGCCTGCGATGATGCAGTGATGTGTTCGGTGGAGGGCAGGAGGATCAGGTCGCGCGACCAGGCGGCTAGCCAGCTGCGTCTCTGTTTGGGGTGCACGGGTTAGAAAGACCGGCGCGCCCAGCAACCCGCCCCCCCCGAGCTGTCGACGGGGGCAGGCGCCGCCGCCGTGCCGGGACGCGCAGCCCTCGCGCCGCGTGCCGCCTGCGCGCCGCACCGTGCAAGGGCATGCCCCAAACGGAGTGGAAGTCGATGCGGCGCCCGGGCTCCGCCACTGTCTTCTGCAGCAGGAATGTTATCTCCATGACAGGGAGCTTGGCTGGGGGGCCGAAAGGGGGGGTGCAGGACGTGTGGGCAGGCGACCCAGGGGGCAGGTGGGCCGGCAGAGGCCATGGCAGGCGCGCGTGCTGGGAAGATTGGTGGCCATGCACCCAGCGGCGCTCGGCCGCCTCAGCAGGCCGCAATCGCACCGAGCGCCCACACTGGGCAGGGGATGATAGGGCGTTTGTGTGCGTGCCGCTCCAACAGCGGGGAAATGGGGTGGTCCCGCTCACCCCAGCGGTAGTAGCACTGAAAAAGCGCCATGTCTGGAGACTTGTCATCCAAGCCGATCTGCAGGCACAGGGAAGAGGGTGAATCGACGCGGGGGGGCCGCGCGTTTAAAACGACGGTCAAGGCAGCTGCAAGCGCAAGCTCAGCAAAGTGAGCCGTGACTATGCTGGCCAGCAAGCGCGCTGCGGGACGGAGGGGTCAACTAGCCAGTCAGCTCTGCAGGCGAGCGGTGTTGCATGCGCCAAACAGCGCCACGCATCAAGGCAACAGCAGCACGCCAGCCAAGCGGTCTGCCCTACCACGTGCCCATGTGCAGGCCACCCTTCCTGCCACCCAGATGCTGAGATCCAACGCACCTGCCCTATCAGATCCAGAAAGTCAACCAGCCGCTGCCACTCATTCCAAAACGCGAAGCACACGTCCACCGGCGCCGCAACGACCGCCTCTGTCACGTGGTAGCAGGAGTGCTGGGGGTCCTCCGAGTACGAGATGAAGTCCGCCGGCGTGTACCCGGATATTTCGGTGTCTGACTCCGCTGCGCAGGCCACGATTGGACGCCTGCGAGGGCCGCGGCCACAGCTCAGATCACAGCCGTCAAGCTTGAGGGCGATCTGGGCATTCTATACAGTCAATTATGCAATATCATGATGCATATACGCCTCCCGGTGGCCTCACCTGCTGGGAGTGGCCCGCGGCGCCCCCCAGGCCGGTTGTGCGTGCCCAGGGCCCGCTGCTCGCCGTCTTGTTCGATTCAATCCCACTCTATATGCTGCTGCTGGAGGTGCTGTTGCTGCCAAGCTAACGCCCCAGGCCTGCTGCTGCAAGATCATCGTAGGTGGCCGTCTCCGAGTCTGTTTGTGTGTACAGCGGCTGGCATAAGCGCCGTTCAATATGTAAGCGTTTGTATGCGGGCTGCGGCCATGTTACCAATGGTTGTCCCGCATGGCGCTGCCCGCAGCTGCTGTCGGCGGCTTGGTCATGATGCAGCCTCAGGTGTGGCTGGCCGGGCACCGGTGCGCGATGAGAATCATCCACCAGGCCCGGGGGTTGAACCAGCGAGTCAACTCGGCTGCCAGTCAGCATGCCTTGCCACCAACAGCCTTTGCATCCCGCGACTTTGACCGCCAATCGGGTTTTGTCAAACAAGGAGTCAAGGCAGGCACCACTCAATTTTGTCCCTCTTGCCGACACGTTCTGCATGGCGCCAACCGATCCATTTTTTAGCTGCAAAGAATCTACACATTCCCACCTTTGCGACACCTTCCTGTGCTACGCCGCTACACGCAGCGCGCACGCCGCAGGGACCCTGCCTGTCCACGGCCGCAACCTTTTGACCCCCTCTTACCCTGCTGGCTCACCTTTCAAAGCACACCAACAGCACATGCATTCACGCTGCGTAGCTCCTGTGACCAAAAAGTTTTTACACATGCAATCGCCTGCTGCAAGCAGGATTCAGTCATGTACAAGCAGCTCGTATTCCAATCAAGTGCTGCTGTTGGGGAATGGTCGTGACGCGAAAGGCCCATGGCATGGGTCGTGTCGCAAGGAGGCGCATGGTGTGCGTGCAAGACGCATTGAAACAGAGCAGCGAAAAGAGCGGTAGGACGGACTGCCGTGCGAGCAACTCTTCAACACGCCCCGTCGTAGGAGGCCAGCGCTGTGGGTGCGCCATGGCAGTGTGCACAGCCAGCCCAGCCACCAGCCAGTAAATCTTGAGGTGTCGGGGTGGCACGACCCAGGCCGCAAAGCCTTTTGAAGCGAAAAGACAATGGCAACGGAGGGCAATGGCGATGCAGGAAATAATCAAAACAAGCAGGCGCCTGGGCGGGCGCAGCCGCCGCCTGCGGCACTGCTGAATGCGCGGCGCGGCCCGATACAGCGTGCAAATGATTGCGACAAGCAAAAGGCCAGCTTGCCATGAAAATTCGAAAGACAAGGGGACGAAAGATGTCAACTTGATGGGAAGGCGCATCAAAGCAGCAGATGACAGACGCTTGAGGACCGCGGTCGTCGCGTGCTCAGAAGCTTCGCCTCGGGGGGCTGGCGCGTTTGCAGTGAGTCTTACTGCGTCGCGCACAAGCGCGCGACGCGCCCCGCCGACGAGCAACGCCGCGCAAGGCGGCAATCCCGCGGCGGCGTGAGGCAGCCATCACAAAATCCCCCGGCAGCCCGGGGACCGCCGGCCTGCGGCGCGCCAGCCGGCGGCTCGCCAGCCGGCGGCGCGGCGCGCGCGCGGGGGTGCGTCAGCTCATGAGCGTCGCGTCCGCCGCCGCAAGCGCCGCCGCCAGCGGCTCCGACAGCCCGGCGAGCGACCCGAGCGAGCTCGCGGAGCTGCCGCTGCCGCTGCCGCCCGACGCCTCTGCGCCCGCGCGCGCACCCTTCGCGCCGCGCCATGCTCCCGCGCCGCCCCCGCCCGGCCACGCGGCGGGCGGCGCGGCGCCCGTGGCAGGCACGGCCTCGTCGTAGCCGCTGTCCGAGGGCTCCGGGGCGAACAGCGCCGCGACGGGCGGCCCGGGCCAGTCCTCGGCCGCCGACAGGCCGTCGTCGTCGGCGGCGGTGGAGGCGGTGGTGGTGGCGGGGTCGGGCCCGTAGGGCGCGAGCGCGAGCGCGTCGAGCGCCGCCTGCAGCTCCTGGATTCGGGCCTCGTACTCCGCCTCTTTGTCCAGCGCGCGCACGAGGGCGAGCTTAAACTCGGTGTTAGCGCCTGGCGGGGGCAGGCGGGGGCAGCACCGGGGCCGGCAGCTCAAGAGGCAGATTCGCGCGTAGGAGGGGGAAGCAGATGCATGACGAGCGCTCGTGCTCGCCAAAGCGCTGGCAAGGCACGTCAGTGCTGTCGCCTATTGTTCCCTTGGGGACGCCGCCTCCTGATCCGCACCACGGCCGCGCCGTCGCCGGCCGAGTCCGGCCAGTTTCCCTCCTTACTCACCCTGCAGGCACGCGCGGTCCATCTGCACCTCCGCCAACTCATCCGCCAGCCGCCGCCCCTCCGCCTCCGCCGCCTCCGCGCGCACCCGCGC